GGATTGTTCAGCTAATTGCTGCTTATGTTTTTGTGCGGAAATAGACATATGTAGCTCTGAAAGTTCAAAAGAGTGCTCAGCATTATACTGAAGCGGCAATGGATGAGATTGCAATACTAAAGCAGGTTGCTGAGGGAGATCCAGATGATAAGAAGTGTGTTGTGAAGCTATTGGATCACTTTAAGCATTCTGGTCCTAATGGGCAACATGTTTGTATGGTATTTGAATACTTGGGAGATAATCTTTTGACACTTATCAAGTATTCAGACTACCGAGGGCTCCCTATCCACAAAGTTAAAGAGATATGCTTTCATGTTTTGGTGGGTTTGGATTATTTACATCGCAAACTTTCCATCATACACACAGACTTGAAGCCAGAAAATGTGTTGCTTCTATCAATGATTGATCCAGCTAAAGATCATACAAAGTCGGGGACTCCTATCATTCTTCCCTCCAATAAAAGTAAGATTGTCTCTGAATCTGGGGCTTCTAAAGCTGTGAAGAGTTTAAATGGTGACCTGACCAAGAACCAGAAAAAGAAAATTCGAAAAAAGGCTAAGCGGGTAGCTCAAAAGTGTGCCGACAAGGAAGCTTCTGAGGAGACTGAACCACATAATGAAACTACTGGTCCTGAAGACTCTGCTCGTGATGAAAAACCTGAAGCGAAATCAGTTGATGAACAAACTAGTATTGAAGCCAGTGGAGATGTCTCAACAAAGGAAGGGCACCAAAAAATTCAGAGACATAAGCGAGGCAGCCGCTCTGATAGGCAGAAGCTATTGGCTGACGTTGACCTTAAGTGCAAATTAGTTGACTTTGGTAATGCATGTTGGACGTATAAACAATTTACAAGTGATATCCAGACAAGACAGTATAGATGTCCGGAGGTTATACTGGGCGCTAAGTATTCTACTTCAGCAGATCTTTGGTCCCTTGCTTGCATTTGTTTTGAGCTCACCACAGGTGATGTTCTTTTTGATCCTCACAGTGGTGACGGTTATGACAGAGATGAGGTACAACAACTTTACTTTTGATCATTTCACCATTTCCATTCTGACATGCACAAACAATTTTCTTTGGTAGGACTTGGTTAGTGTTTAAATCTATTTGTTGCTTAAGCTAATTATTACGTGTATGTTATGAGCATGATGTGACAATTTGATGGACTCTAATGTCTTGGAAGCGTATTGGTATATCAAAAGTGCTTTATTTTTGCTTGATGGTTCTTCAAACTTATGTCAGCAGTGTTGTGGTTTTGGTGAGGTAAAGAAGCAAGCACACTTTAAGCAATTCCTTAAGTTCACCAACAAGATTCGATGTGAGAAAATGATGAGTTTTGGAACCAAAAATATGTTGCTCCATCGAAGAAATGTCACATACCCTGTTTCAGTAGCACGCAGGAATTCTTGATATAATTAAAAAAAGTTCATATTGGCTGAGCCCACATCTCCCACCTTTTGACATATATGTCTTTTATAACTAAAAGATTGAGGTTCTGTATTTCTTGCATTGATAGCTATGAAAATGTTTTTTGCTGTCCATTGCATAGGAAGAAAGAGCGAAGGTCACTTAAACAGCTAGATTTTTGGGTCCCATTAACTAGTTTAGGTCTTTATACACTTCCAATAAAATCTCTTAGATATTGACTTAACCTAGCAAACAAAATGTCCTGGGAACTCTATAAAAGATGAAAGTCTTCAAAGATCATCAGATAAACTTTAGAACATGCGTGGGGAGGATGTTAGGGCATACCACCATCCTCATTGTTAAAGATTGAAGGGAGTTGATAATTTCTTCGGTCGCTCACATCCATTGCCTTCAGATTTTGCATGGATGCTCAAATTGTTTGTCACTTTAGGCTATTATTTATTATTACTCTTTAATGGTTTTGCTAAAATTTTATTGTTTGTCATTTTAGCTTGCTTATAAAAATCTGACTCACTTGGTCACGTCGTCGGTGAAAGCAATAATTCTTACCAGTGGCCCTAGCTTGCAAGTCTTTCTGATAAACATGTTTTCTTTTCGTGTGATCCTATTTATACTAGATTGATTGCCTCTATCAATGTTCTAACGCCAGGCTCTGTGTTATCTTTATTGGTACATTAGCTTCTGTCTGATCTCATTGTAGAGACTTTTTAAATACTTAATTCTTTAGTTTTTAATGCTTCTTTTAAGTGTTAGTTTTGGACATGTGTTTTTTTCCTTCTTTAAAAAAATAATCAAATGTCTTTGTACATTGGACTGATTTTTTAAATGATGTTGTTTGTACTCGCATAACATTTACTTCTTTTTTTTCCAAGTTAAACGCATGTCTAACACAATTTTTAATTTCCATATACCTTTTTCCATTTTTTCTTTCAAATATCACATTTTTTATGTCCGAACACCTACTTGATTGTTCACTTAAATGGTGTTGACAGGATCACTTGGCCCTCATGATGGAGCTTCTGGGGACGATGCCACGCAAGGTGTGTTTCTTTGTCTGGCGAGAAGCAACCAAATGCTAGTTCTGATTGAAATAACCCCACAATATATCTAATTTTCAGTATTCCTGCAGATTGCCTTAGGTGGACGCCATTCAAGAGATTTTTTTAACCGAAATGGAGAACTAAGGCACATCAGGCGCTTGCGGTTCTGGACTCTCAGTAAAGTGCTCATGGAAAAGTATGATTTATGCGAACAAGATGCGAATGAGATGGCAGATTTCCTTGTACCTATCCTTGACTTTGTGCCTGAGAAAAGACCGACAGCAGCTCAATGTCTTAGTCATCCATGGATTACTGGAGGTCCTCGACATCTTGGTTCTTCGACTAATTCTCTATCTGAAGCAACTGAAAACCATGGTCCGAAGAACAATAGAGAGAAGGATGAAAGGGAGGCAATGGAAGTTAGAGTGGGTAATATTGCAATTGATGGGGCTCCAGCCCCAGTCAAAGCTTCTCAATCTTCAGATCTTGCTAAGAAGACATAGTTGATTGGTCCAGGTTGCGCTACTTTAACATTTTTATTTAAATTTTGATCCCTTATCAAAGTTAGAAAATGGACCATGATCAGTTTTATTTCTTTTATGCCAAGTTTATCTGCCCCTCTTCAATCTCTTAAGGTGATAATCTTCAGCGACGTTGTGTCATTGGTTGAAGCATTTCACTACAGCATGTCAGAGTAACTGAGCAAACTGCAGCTCGTTTGCTCTCTTTGTTATCTGGAAATTGTACACTTTAAGTTAAACATTATGTCTTCACTTTTGGCTTTATTTGAGAACTTACTAGTCTTGAATCTTTGTATTTTAGTTGTCCTACCATCCATGTTATGTTACATTTCTGTCCGTGTTTCTCCTGATAGTGCTACTGCAGTTCTAATTTATCAAACAGGGGAAAAAGAGAAAAAAACAGTTGATACTGTACGCCTGCAATTGACAGCTTTGTTTCTGGTGAATGCAGTGCTGTGAGCATTGGAAAATGAAGGAATGACTCTTTTGCTTCACTGTGGGTAGAATCGTACATCCCTACATGAACTGTGAGTTGAATTAAGCAAATACTAATAGCTAATCCATTTGGTAGGCTGGGTCCTGACTGATAGAATCTCTTTCTCTAACTTTAGGTGAGCAGGCAAGTTTAAACATGTACCGAAGCAGCACGTTGGTGTTGGTTTGGTGAGTGAAACAGATTCTCTCAGTTGTATAACTTTTGGTGGACAATTTATGAGCCACCCCTTCGATTGGATTCTTATTATTTTGGCTTTCCTTTGATGATGTACACGTACTCTTCAGTGAAAGAACATTATAGCCTTTGATGTCAAAACTCAGTGACCGATGGTTGGATGCTAATTGCTATATTACATAACAAGAAAGTATCTTATGCTTTGCTTAGACTATTTATTGTTGTTTCTTGTACTCTGTTTATCTCCTATTTTGTATTACTTACTATTTAACTTCACATCGTTATTTCTTTCTTCAAAAATGCTTTGAATTGTTTTGCCTTTGGCTGAATGTCTATTGGAAACCAACTCTCTACCTCTAATGTAAGGTAACATCAGTCTGTCAGCCTCTACAGACCTCGCTTTGTGGGATTATACTGATAATATTGTTGTCATCCGTGGTATAAACCTACTGTCCATGTGGTTTCTGCTGCAACTGTCTTTTCTTTTGCTCCTAGCAAACCACAGGATCTTGCATCTGGATGAAATTTAAATGAATAATCATGTTGCTGCAACAAATTACAAGATTATATGCCAAGTCCCACAAAACACATAATGGCATTAGCTATACCTAATGCTGCAGAGCCAAATGGAAAGCTAAATCTCCAATGGCTTAACTGGGGATGGTCAATTGGATACAGTATTTGCCTTGGTTCTTAACAAATAATAGTAGTACATTGGACAAAACTGAAACAACAACAAAATTAAAATCTGTTCAATTATATTTACGAGGTTGTAGGTGAAACAATTCTGTCATCAATCATTCAATTGAACCTCGATCCTTCAATAGTTTAGGTAAAGTTAAATGAATCATGTTGCCTTTTAAATGGTGATTTGTTGGATCATTAGTCCATAAATTAATAATAACGTTGTCTTTTGAATGGTGAATCACCGATCCCTTACCGGTCCTTTTATTGACGGCCAAAGTGTGTACTTTTTTCAATGCAACGCTAAAAGGGCAAGGTAAAAATGTTGTAAAATTTGTTACTAAACATGTTAGTTTACTGAATAAGCAATTATATTATATGAGATTGACTTTTATTACGTCCAATTTTCAGTAAAGACAAAACACGAATTGAAATTATTCTATTCGTGCATGTAAGCTGATTTGAACATCATAATTATAAAAAACATATATATATGAGATCCAATTCTCAGAAAAAACAAAACACTAGTTGAATTCATCGCATGTAAGCTGATTTAAACATTATAATTATAAATATATATAGAGATTGGTTGGAAACGACTTCATATATTTAAGCAAAGGAAATTGTTATCTATATATGTTGATCCCAATAAACAATACGTAATTAACCAAAAATGCAATAATCTATAAGGTACTATATAAGCTTGTCTTTCCTCAATTCCGCCATTCAAAAGGGAAAAGGAAGGGTAAAAGAGCGCGAAAACCCTAGCTTACAGTCTCTAGCTCCGGTATGTCAATTCCACCGGAATCTCCCTCTGAACATAACGAAGAAGCACCGGAACAAGAATTTCAGAGCAGTACTCATCACCCTCCTGCTCCTTCTGGTGAGGTAATCCATGAAAATGTATTCATCACACAGTATACCAATTCCTGTTGATATTGAGTCTTTGAATAGTTTTGAGATGTGAATTTATTAGGGTTCTATTGGTCAATATTCGGTGGTAGACTTACATTTGTTGCAATTTATTTACTTTTTTTTATTGTTCCATGCACTAGCTAATGTATCATGTAAGGAATCTGGTTGAAAGGATGTCATCCGCGTACTAAATTCCTGCTAAATCCATATCTAGAAGCTGATATATTGTGAGGTGAAATGATTCCACTTTTGCTGGATTGACAAAGGACTCATTGTTATCTTCTATAATTTAACACTTCCTCGGTTTCATATTACTCAACCCCATTGCCCCCAAGGCTTAGCACGAGCGACAAAAGGTAGAGGATTTGTGGCTTAAGTCGCAGGTTCAAGCCCCACAGCACGCAAATCAAAGCGCAGTATTTAGGTAGAGAAGGGTAGAGGGGCGGGCTCATTATCCACGGAGTGTAGAAGGCTGTGATTGGTCCGAAGGGCGGGTCAAAGACGGATTTCCCGGTTATAAATAAAAAGGATATTTCTTCACCCGGTTCAAAAATGATGCACTTTTGCTGGATTATGTCTATGAAATGAAGGAAATTCATCAAAATTTGTCTGTGTTTTACCAATTTTGACTCATTTATGTTGAAGACGACCGTATTAGACTTTGGTCCCTAATGCTAATCAACTTTTCAAAGCTAGATATTTCTAGACTGACAAGAATTCTTGCATTAGTGTAGTGAGAAAGGAAAACTGCACAAAGAGAATGTTTCATCTTTGTAACTTGCACTACTAGAGCAACAACAAAGAACTGGTTAAGTGATTTTTTTCAGCTAAAAATTTAACGACTATATACGCCATTATGATAAATTATTGGAATCCAGGAATATCTGGTAGGTTGTAAGAAGCTCCCAATACAGAGGCACTAACTGTAACCCATTTGAAACTTCTCTTACTCATGCTTAACATTAACAAGTGGAAGATTGACCAATATTGCATGTTGAGACTTTCTGACTGCTGGTTTGGCAAGGCTTGTGCATCACATAAATAGAACACTGCTACTTATTGATGGTGTGTTCTTATTTTTTCTTTATATTATATGCCAGACACTGGTTACTTCTCGCTCAAAAGTTTTTGATAGATTAAGCCTACATTTATTTTTTAGATTCTTTTTTCAATTAGTTTGGCTTCTTCTCTCAAGGCATTATGATTTATTCTGCAGCTATTTGATATAACAACCACAGTTGATCCGGCTTATATAATATCTTTGATCCGGAATCTCCTATCAGAAAATGTGAAGCATGGAGAAAGAAGCAAGATAACCACATCTTCTCCTCCTGAGAATGAAGGAGACCAGAGCTGGTCTATTGATGAGTCTAAAAATATGAAGAATGTTGAAACTTTTGTCAAACAATCAGTAGATGACAAGTTCTATTGCCAAAATGAGCGTGAGGATGTGGCAGTAGGAGAAGAGGCTTGGGAAGAGTTTGGCTGCATTTTATGGGATCTAGCAGCTAGTAAAACTCATGCTGAATTCATGGTATTTAGAACTTCTACTTGTCTAGAAACTTGATTTTTTTCTGTTGGCTGGAGGAAGAGTGGGTCGTTTCACCCATTCGTTTCTGTTTTTGATATTTACCTAAGAATAAAGCAGAAGTTTTCCTTATTTTTTATAGTTATGATAAGAATTTTTTGTACAATCAGGAGCATTTTGAAGGCTACGCAAAAGAGGCCTTCCAGTTTCTTATTTGAAGCTCTGGTTAAGAAGCATTTATTCTGAAGAGACTTAGGCCTAGGCGTAGACACTGGAATTCTTACGTCGTTGATAATATTTTCAGGAAAGAAGAGGAAGTTTCTTGTTTTTTTTTTAATATAGTTATGATTAGAAATTTTTATACAATCAGGGGCATTTTGAAGATTTTGCTAAGAGGCCTTCCAATTTCTTAGTTGAAGCTCTGGTTAAGAAGCATTTATTCTGAAGAGACTTCGACCTAGGCGTAGACACTGGAATTCTTATGTCATTGAGAACATCTTCAGGAAAGAAGAAAAGGTTCCTTGTGTATTTAGTATAGTTGTGATAAGAAATTTTTATACAATCAGGGGCATTTTGAATGCTTTGCAAAAGAGGCCTTCCAGTTTCTTAGTTGAAGCTCTGGTTAAGAAGTATTTTATTCTGAATAGACTTAGGCCTAGGTGTAGACACTGGAATTCTTATGTCATTGAGAATATTTCAGGAAAGAAGAAGAGGAGGTTTCTTGTGTAGATACTGGCATCCAGTTTTTCTGTTTCAGATGGTTGGTGCTTGGTGTACCCTGCTGTATATTGTCTATACAAGCTTCCAGCAGCTTAGGAAAGAAACTTCCCATTTGGATGATCAAAGCTTTATAAACTTATCCAAAGAAAAAGAGGATCAGGGGTCGGTGGGTTGAATATGCTTATTGGGAGGATAGCCTTCCATATACACATGTTCACTACTCTAGTCTTTAGAGGGATGATTAAGTTCTATGTGCAGGTTGAAAACTTTGCCCTAGAAGTGCTTTTGGCGACTCTGATGGTCTCAAAATCTGCACGAATTACTGTAAGTCTTCCTTTATTCTTCTGATGGATCCTTCTTCTTTTTGGAGGTTTACTTCATTATATTTAGGTATTCTGATGACTCAACTTGAGATATGGTTTGATGAAATCATTGCATGTAAACAGGAAATCAACCTTGGTATTATTGGGAACCTAGCTTGCCATGATGTCTCACGGAAAAAAATCACTACTACGGATGGTCTGATTGGAGCAGTACTGCAACAATTGTTTCTAGATGACACAGCATGTCTCTGTGAAGCATGCCGGTACAATATTATTTTATGACAGAATTTAATAACTGATTCTGCCCTAATATTGTTTATCTTGTTGCTAATATCTAACTTTTACTGAGGGAGTATAACTTAGCCCACACTGTTTTTTCTTTCAACCTTCTTTTGGGGGATTGGGGGCAACAAAAATGGTAGTAATATTTATATTACAGTGCTATCATGTAGAATTTCATTCTTATGCTTGTTACTATTAATCTGGAATCATTGTTATGTTTGTTACTGTTAAGTATTACTTTTTTAAAAAATTGCAACCCAAATTATGTCGCTGTGAAAGTCCTCTACCGTTGACTTGAGATCCCAGTTCAGTATTTTCTATTCTAAGAACATGTGATAAGATGCATCATAATTTCCTGTAGCCTTTGCTTTATCATGATCAAATTTTCTTATAATTGGCATTACCTACAGGCTGATAACTTTATTTCTTCCAAGCAACGAATGTGGTTTTTTGGCAGAAGCACTGCAACCTGAACATATTTTATGTCGTATTTTATGGATTGTAGAGAACACTTTGAACATTCAGCTTCTTGAGAAGGTAGCAATGACTGGCTTCAATTTTCCATGTAGCTTTTCATTTTTCAATATTGTCTCTCTATTCTGACTTTCTTGAATCTGGGTCTTGCAATTTAAAAAGTTGTATATATGTTCCCTATTGGATGAGTCTAATGGCATTTGTTTGTATTTCTCGACTTTCACCCTATATCAAATAAATGTCTCCTTCCAAAGACAAACTTGATGCTAAAGTGGCATACTCACTGTTATTGTGGTCACCATCATCATTTTTTTTAATCATCACTGATTCGTAGATGACACACTTCCAAATACTTCTACCAATAACTTCTCTAGGAGTTGTGAAAGGGTTGATATTCTTTTTGTAATATAAAGATTACTTTATGGTTAGCGGCACAGCAACTGTTTTTGAATCAAATGTAATTCGAGTATGGTATCTGGAAATAGTATCTGTCAGATAGATAAAGTCATTAAGTTCCTAATCTGTTTAGTTTTGTTGAAAGAGATCTAATACCATCTTTTTCCCTTCTGAAATGTTCTTCTACTATTATTCTTTTTAACAGTCTTTGTGCTGCTTTCTATTCTGCTATTGCTCCGCATTGCGTTTGATGTAATTTTTTCTTGTCTACAGAGCATTAATCTTCTCTTAGCAATAGCAGAAAGTAAGCAGGATGTGGTTGCGATACTGCTACCACCACTGATAAAATTAGGTCTCCCACGCAGTCTGGTTGATCTCCTATCTGTTGAGATAAGCAAGTTAACCCCTGAAGAAAGATTACCTGAAAGGTCTGGTCTTTTCTTATCTTGGGATGGCCTTTTCTAGGAGGAGCAGTTTAATTTTTTCTCCGTTCACTGCTAATTTTTTTCCTGCTAATATGATTGCTGATTATTGTGCCGCAATTCTTCAGGACTTTATTCCTCGGCATGTTGTACTTCTCTTTAATATTTTTCATGTTAAACATTATTCGTATCATGAATAGGTTTTCTACTTTTTGGAGTTCACATTACTTGGTTTTCTCTGTGCAAGAATTGGGAATTATATAACATAGAAGCAGATAGCAGCTCATCATTTTTGCAGTCATCCTCCTTCCCCCCTCATGCTCTAATGCTCATGCATGAGGCTTTCCTTTAAATTATCATTGTGGTGAACCTCTGTGGTTGCAGTTCACTGATCAACTGATAAAGTGATTATGTGCTACATCAGGTATTCCATTCTAGATTTGATTCTTCAGACTGTTGAAGCGCTTTCAGTCATTGATGATTATTCACAAGAAATCTGCTCAAACAAGGAACTCTTCCAACTACTTGTTCAATTGATCAAGCATCCAGATAAAGCTGAGGTATGCTGTTAACAGCTTGCAGAACCTTCTCATGTTTATCCTTACGTATCTCAAATTGTGCCAAAGATTAGTGGAAGCACAGTTTCCCTTATTATGCATATATCAAACAACTTGAGAGAACAAAATGTGGAAGTAAACAATAAAGTAGGCTGCATAGAACTTTATCCCCCCAAAAGAAGAAGAATAAGGTAGTCCTGAAATATTACTGCAGTAATTGATTCCTTAAGCAGAGGCTATTTCCTAATATATGCATTGCCTGCAGTTTGCCAACTCTTGTGTTACTGCTTCAGTTTTGACAGCAAATATTCTGACTGATGTAACTGATCTGGCTTTAGAGATATCACAGGGTGAGAGTTCATAATTGCACCAACACATGCTAGCCTGATTTTTTTGGCCTTAGTTTATGTCAATTTATCGAATCAGTAATGACCCTTGGATCATTTCAGATACACTTTTCTTAGAGGGTCTACTTGGTGTGTTTCCTTTTGCTTCTGATGATACTGAAGCACGGAGCGCAATTTGGAGCATTCTTGCAAGGTTGCTGGTGCGAATTCAAAAAACTGATCCGTCAAATCTGCACCAGCATGTCTCAGTTCTCACAAGCAAGTCAGAGGTGGTTGAGGATGAACTTCTTATCTATGATGTTGATGATTCCAGGGAAGACCATAGAAGTTCCACCAAATTAACAGCAAGAACATTTGCTGTATCCTTCTTCATATATATTCAAAAGTATTTTTATTTTTTGAAGATAAAAGAATTGTCCTCACTAGTGTCCACGTTTCTTTTTCTAACTGATGTTACTTTCTGGTAGTGTTGGAAAGGAATGTGCCTGAGTAGAGTGCACCGGATATGGAGGATTCCCATAGCGGACACCGCCTAGTTTGGAATTGGTTCATAATTGATTGATTGATTTTTATGTTACCTTCCGAATTCTCTGTTTCCTTTCATTGTTGAATAGCTAAATGGAATTGTTGAAATTTTAAGTCGATGGAGAACCCTTGACGACCACATGAAGGGAACCCTTTCTATGGAAGGATGCTATGTGAATGAAGGAGAAGTTGATAAAATGTTGTACTACTGTTACAAATACACCAAGTAAGATTGCTTCTATTTTTTCTTTGGTAACCATCCTATATGGAATTCAGACGTGCTTGAGAATTCTTATTCCTGTTTGGTGTTTGTAGATTTGACTGTATTTGGTTTCAGAACCAACTATTGTTCCAATTGCTGATTCATAAATGAATTCAGAACTATCTTTGCTCTATATCTTATTTTCATGGTTGTTAGATACTAATGTTTGCTAAGCTGCTAATACAATCTTCATTTCAAAGTAAATGACACAGGTATATCGCCGGAGGAGAACTCAAGAATGATCCAACTATTGACTGATAAATTTAACACGATGAAGAAAGATGCATGCTCATCATTTATCTGGGCAATCTACGGGTATTCGGTAAAACAGCTAAAAGGGAATGACCTCACTTCAGGCTATCTCTCTGAAAATACCCGTGGAGAAGTGGTTTGGCTGATGTTGTAGAAGTGGCACAAAATACAAGTGTTGGCTTGGTTTAACATCCTTGAGAATCTCTTCTTCACTCGCAATACATGGTGCTGATTGATTCTATGAGCTGTCGTCTCGGCTTGCTGTTTAGGTATCTGGCCTCTAGCTGCTCGGGAGTTATCACTAATGAACTACAGGAAACTTAAGTAGCTTCAAAACTGTCCCATGTAGAGGTTATCGCCATTCCATCCCACAATTCTTGTAGATAGTTCCAGAGCGTTGTGCAGTTTACCCGATTCACTGTCTACTTGTGGAATAGTTCCAGAGGTCGGCGATGACACAGTTGCATCTATGATGAAATTGTGCAGGACTCGGAGTCCAATTTTGCTGCATGATGCTTCGTCTTATGGAAAGGAAAAACACGTCCAGTACTACCGCTCATATCGTGGACAAACTAAAACTTGTTTTCCTGATCTTCTATGAGAAGAAACTGATTTCTAACTTGCTTGTTCATATAATTTTGCATTTGGTGGTCAATGGAAAGAGCAAATATTATTTTATGATATAAGCTGTCTTTAGACTTCGTTTATTGACGTGATTTTGATCCCAAAAATGATGCACGAGTAGACGATTTCCTTGTTGCTAGTGGGGATTTTAAGCTGGTTATTTCTCACAGAACATAGAACATACCTTTTTTTTTCTTTTCATCTGACCATCTCTAAGAGGAGATACATCACACTAATTTTGGAATTTTCGAACCTGAGATGGTACTCTAGTAATTTCTTTTAAATGGAACTTGGTTAGTAGAAAAAATAAAAATCGTATAAGTATTTCTTCAGCAGTTAATGTTTGAAGTGATATTCAAACATCTATTTCTTCTCTGCTTTTGTAGTTCTTTGCAAAACAGAATTTTAAATTTCACAATGCGTCAGCAAATGTTACTAAGTTGAGGTCAATGAAATCCGTAACAGAAATTTGCACAAGTTGTGACACTCAGCAATGCCCCTCAGACCTAAATAATTTAAGGCGACCAGAGTTTAACTCGACTTGGCTATAGAAATTTGAGAATTAGATTACATAAGTCAGAAATGCTACTTTTTTGAGTTAGAAACTTACAATCAATGCAGACGGTGCCCCAGTTACCAACTTGATTTTGCGGTGTTCCTTTCGTGGGGCTGTGTCTCAAGTCATTCAAGTCCTCTCCGGAATTGTGTTACGCAGTTCTGGTAACAACACTACTGTACTCATATTTACACCCCATATTTTTTTAACTCTTTCCTCTGACCTTTACTTTGTTCTTCCTCCACGTATCAAAATATCTTTGATGTCATAGCTGAATATTTATCTGTTCTGACATTTCCGTTATACCCGAATAAACTCTATCACCGCCTAACTCTGTACCTGAGGCACCAGCAGCAACTCGTAGAACATCTTCTATCAAGGCAAAGTTCCCCAGAATGTCAACATGGGCACCACTCTCTGTGCCTCTCCCCTCTAGCAGACTAGCTGGTGGCTTGTGCTGGTGTTCTCTTATATAAGTAGTGATGCCTGAGGGGTTGAAACGTGTCTTGCCTCGCCATCCTTTTGCGCACATGAAGCCAGCGCTCACGACTGGTACACTCTCATCTCCATCGACAAAGTATACTCCACCACTCAAGCAACCATTATCGCTTCCATCTGCAGAGATATCAATCTGAATAGGAATGCTCTTGCATCTGTCAGAAGGTGATATCTTGTAGACATATGATCTTTCAGTGGGAATTCCCACTCCATATGAACAGAAGATTTCCATATCCGGAGCATCTGGCAAGCTGAAAAATGATGTTGACTATTAACATACCAAGAAACACAACGGACCTAAATGAAGCACGCTTCCTCATTAACACAACGTTAGTACATTTGGCGGAAAAATAGAAAAAGGGATAGTAATGTCACTACTTGTTCGCACTTACATGGTTTCAAGTGGATTTGACCAATACTTATAATGACTATACTTTGGGTCTTCTAAGTTATCTGCTAATCCATGGGAGAAGTGTACCTCAGCGCGCTGCATCGTCTTTGGTGCTACAAACCTGAGAAGATCTGTTAGAGTTCTTGCCGTGTAGGCTTTATTTTCAGTCACTCTCTTGATGCTCTCCCGACTCAGCCCGTTATATTCTGTCAAGAAGTCTTCACATGATGTGCTGGAAGTGCGCGTGCTTCCGTTCAAGATCTTCTGTTATAAAACAACTCATTCCATTTTTAATCACATTTCAAGGGAATAAGAGGTATGTATGAATGTCAACAAGTATTCTTTTCAAATGTAAATTGAGATAAGAACTCATAGTTTTTACCTTTGGATCTATAAAAGAGAGTTGTGACGAAGGTACCTCAGATGCTACTTTCCCAAATGATACTAATCTTCCATATTTTGCCAGTTCTTTTACCTGGATACTCCTCTGAGGGTTGGTATTATTTCCGTTGTTCTCCTTTGAAGAGTAATGCAGGTATTGTGTCTTCGCTGAATGACATACATTTTCTTCTTCTGGGGACCTATTCAGATCGCCCCAGACCGTCTCTCCTCCTTTCGGTAGCAATGAAATGATGGAGTCCCATGTTCGAAACACCCTCATAACATGTTGAAAGGTTTGAAAACCAAAGGTCTCTAAATCAAACAGACCAGGAGCCATGGCTCTGCAGAAGTAAATGTGATCAGTACCTCATTGGTGGTAGAAAGGAATCAAATATGAAAAATTGGAGGTGCTAAACGCAGTGATAGATCAACTTATATACCGAAAACAAAAAGCAAAGGAATTTGCTTTTGTTGATTTCCCATTTATGTGATTATGACGCAAAAATAGACATGCAAATGGGACTTCTCTACCGTTAAAAACTAACTAAAAACACAAGAGAGGATAATGGTTGATGAATAGCATTACAAACCTGATAAACGCAACATCTTTTCCCTCAGCAGACAATATATTAGCAACAGCCTTTGGTACTCCAAGAAATGCCGGACCGATATTCATGATTGCTTTAATGTGCTTGGCACACCAACCTGGTCCACCACCCCCTCCAATAGGGGTAGGTGCTTCAACCCATTTAAGGAAGTGGAGAAAATAGTTGACACCCATTGAGTGAGGCACTGCCACCACTTTCTTGTAGCCATTTGTAACATACAAAAGCTCAATTTTTCTCTTTAGCCTGCTCAGAGATTGGTCTCTGATCTGCTTGCTCCCAAATTAAAGAGAATGTATCAGAATTACATCAACAATGTCCTCAAGCAGGACAACAACCTCTAGACTTTTTCGACCAAATGAATAAAGAAACTTTTTTTTTCTTTCATACAGTACATATGTCCTTTACAATATTTGCAACTTCTACTGTAAATGGAGTGACCTAGACAGTAAGGATTCATATCGCTGACCTCAACTTGCTTGTAGTTATAGGATTAGTAGCAACGAAAACAACAAGTAATAGTAAGATCGAAGAAATGAAGAAGATAAATTTAATACCTCTGTATTTTGGAAGGATAGCCTCCAGTCATATGAAGCCATATACATATTCTTCTGTTCATAGCCAATCTTTGCCAAATTTTCAATAAGATTAGCCCAAACAAAATAGCCAGGAGCAAAATAATCAGCTGCTACTAATCCTGTAACTGCACGTACTCGAATTCCCGGTGGATCAAGCCCAGTTTCATTATCCAAAGATAGGTGCTCCAACCAACATAACGGCCTAATTCAATTGCAGAAAAGATTTTCAACTCGGATTTAAAACTCTGCATTATCCGATTAAATCAAAGGTAATTCCAATTCTGCAATGGCTAATTTCACGAATGATCACTGAACTTTACCGTTATAGCTGGTAAAATACAATTACTTAACTTGACTTAACAAAACTTTGTAACTTAAATATTATAAAGACGAACCTCTTGAATATTTCAGAAAAGCTACCACCCCAAAGTCTCTTACGAAATAAGCCTTCAGAACAAGGCTTGCCCTCCCAAAGTTCAAGACCACCAGTTACAATCCCAGGCACCAAAACAACAGGGTGATGAGCATTCAACCCTTCATTTTTTAGCCTACTCCCAGGTAATTCAGCTAATTTAAAACCTGGCAAAATAGCAGGCAAAAAATTGCATAGAAATAAAAGTAGCCACCAAGTTATACACAAGAATCCAATTATCCAAAAACAGTTATCTATACACCTCCATTCATTATCATCCCTGCTACTTTTCTTGTGTTTTGGCTTTTCATAAACAGACACAGCTTTTTCTTGTTTCTTGTCAAATGATTCATGAGTGACCACTGAAGAACGCTTTAATGGTTCAAGAAAACAGAGCTTACAATATTGAAGAATTGAACTAAAGATTCTAACTTTACAGTCTAAATAGTTAGAAATAGCACTCAAATTGACCTGCAAAGCTGTAGTAAGCTGTGTTTTCAAGAAATGGAAGAACCCCATCAATTCAGAATGCAGAATTGAGAAGAGCAGAGTAACAAACAAAATTTTGGAAAATAATGAAACTCCATAAGGATCAAGAGAAGTGATGAAGGTGATAGGTTAGTAGTAAGCACTAGTTACACGTGGCAGTAGATGGAGTCAGAGGTGAAGAGAAATTTTCTCTTTCTCCGTATCGGGAGATAATATTTAAATTTGAGTGTGAGAATAGTCTCTGTCTTTTGGCAAGTTTTAACGTTTAGTTGTGTGATGAAATCGAGGGTTGTCTACAAAGACGTGTGTCCTTGCTTTGTGCATTACATGCAAAGAATGACACATCTCGAACCTCAATCGTCAACACTTCTCGAGATACAAATAGATAGTTCCAATATTAAAATCCGAATTATCGGGAAAATAGCACACCTTATTAGAAATTAGAAAACACAGATATCTAAATGGTCTAGTGGGAAAAAAAGCAGAAAAATAAAATTTAAAAATTGAGGTAGAACATAGAAGAATAGCTAATTCCCCTTTATTTAATTTAGGGGCCGTTTGATTTACACGCAAATTATAAGATGAAGATGGTAATGCAGACGTAGGTAAAACTCTCCGGAGAGGATTTTATTATATGAATATTTAAATTCGATAACTCTAATTAAAAAGAAAAAATCATATCTACTGTAGCATATTCGTTGATCTGCTTTGTTTGCAATGGATCCAAATCGGAAAGGCCCTAGTAGAGGAAGTGGACTGGGCTTCAGACAGTTAATTGGGCTTAGTAGATCGGCCCAAGTACTAGCCTTGTCGGAGTACTGGATCAGTCAACTTCGTCAAATAGTTCTATTTAATATGGCCACTTTTTAGTTATTGGCAATTTCTGCAATTAAACTATTGGCCAATAGCCAAAATGGTCTTTTTTGCTTTTCAATATTCGATTTATAGAGCTGGTCACTTGAATCTACGTCACTAAGGGACTCAATAGAGAAAAGTGTTTTTTATCAAAGAATTTTTCATTCTCCAGATATAACTCAATACGTCTAATTAAGGGTGAAATGACCTTATCCAGTACACCATATCTTTGATGATTTCATATTTTCTGTGTATCATATTTTATTTAAATTGCTATTAATAATCTATTTTAAA